TTTGTAAAAAAAAATGACTACTGATTTTTTTTAATGCCTAAACCAATTAGTTTTTAATATTTTTTCAGGTTTTATTATTCTCTGATTATCCAGCTTTAATAAAAGACCAACTATGATGAAATTAAGCCAAATGCTGATTCTCAGTAACAAAAAAACTAACTAAAATCAAAGTCGTCAATCCGCCATGTTTGGACGCCATTTTGGGGCAGTTCGTTCACTTTTTTTTGTGGGAACATTGGCTTTTATTTAATAAATTGTCACAAGGAACACAACGATATGCAATTTATAGGGATGTGGGGAGGGGGGAGTGCACGGTAAGGGGGTCTGGCCCACGGACTATAATATATCTATAATAATAAGCTGAAGCTGATAGGTAACTGGAAGACTGTTGCGAGACTTGCACAAGACCAAGACCCATTATGTTCTCGCATTTCGGCAACACTAGTTGTGGTGTTCAGTCACAAGTAACAAAGTAAAAATAAATAAATTATATTTATTAAATTTACATTAAATAATTTATTTTTATTAAATTTACATTAAATAATTTATATTTATTAAATTTATATTTATTAAATTTACATTAAATAATTTGTATTTATTAAATTTACGTTAAGTAATTTACATTTATTTAAGTTTTTTTTTTTCAAAGGTGAATATTAAGAAGAAAAATAAAAATATTTTCATGGTTACTGACTTAGAATTGAGTTTCTGGTTTTCCAATGAAAGTTAATTTTTACCCAGTTTTTGTTAATGTTTTAATAATTATATAAATTTGTTTGTGAAATTTCCCAATAAGAGAATAAGATGAATAAAATGGAAATCTTAATATGCCGAAGTTTATTGGAATATATTTTAAAAGAAGTTAAACAGAAAAAAAAACAAATATTGTTCTTTGATTTTATTATTTACTAGTAGGCCCGTGCGAAAAATTCGCACAGCATATTGTTATCAAATGTCAATTTAATAATAAAATAAAATAATGCAATGTATCAAAAGATAAAGAAATCAAATGTTACTTTATCGATAAATATAATCGACGAAGAAAAAAAAAATTAATTTAAATATACATTTTTGTTTGGAACCAACAGGTTTACAAATTTCAGTAAGCTGTATCTTTGCTAAAAATTGTCCGATATCGATGATTTTTTTTCCTTTTGTAGGGAATTTAGTAATCTTTTATATAATCATGGGCATAACCAAGGGAAAAGTGTGTAATTTTTTAATTATTCGCAAATAAAGTTTGTTTTCTTTCATAACTTTTTTGCCTACCTAAAGGAGAAGGAAGCCTTCGAAATTGGTGGCTCAATCTTGAGATTTGGTGAAAAATTAACGATGATATGGCGTTCCGATCAAAAACTCCATCGATAAATAATATAAACTCCTCCTCTCTCGATCATAGAGGCCTCAAGTTGACGAAATGAGACATGTATTCAATGACAGTACTACAATTAATGTAAGGTTGTGTGGATGCGAACCATGTGCCTTGCGTTATCTCGAAAATAGTGCGTTTTTGGGCTTAAAAACGTAGGATTCGATAGTTCCGAGGGAACTATCCGGGTCTTGCTGTACGCATTAAAATCTTCAAGATCCAATTTGTCCCGTATCGATCTGAAGACCTACCACCTTTCCATTATTGAAGCCTAGCAAAATGTTTATATCGACTTTATTTATTTTAGAAAGAAAACAAAAGTGGAGAATATGATTCGCTATCCAGGGCTATCAGGGTTCTCCAAACATATTGAGATCTCGACTAGGTCCGGCGGGCCGCATTGAGAACTCTACCCAGGCCATGGCTTGTGATGAAAAAAAAATGTTGTTTTAAAAATGAAACCAGCTGTGAAATGAGCTTTCTAAGAAAAACAAAACATGAAATAGATATTGTAATAACCTTGCGTGTGAGTAATTTCTAAAGTTTCATATTTTTAAATAGTTAAAATAAAATTTTAGCATGTAATCGAAGAAACTTTTGCTGGCCGGATTTGGAGATCCCTAATTTAACTTAATAGTTTCTCATAATGATACTTTGATAAAATTTTATTGAATAATCGCATATTTTTGACATTGCTGTATGACACAATCAAAATATTAATAATTTAATGAAATAATCCACAAGATTACAATTCTTCATCAAAGTCTTCATTTCTGAGAAACAATGTTTCCATTCTCATTATACAAAGGAACCCTGACAGGTGCAACTAGCTGGAATCTTGTTCACTATTAGATACAGCTCTACTGATTTAGGAATGTTACTAACCAGCCTATACAGCCTACACTTAAAATGTAATCAATATCAGGGTTAAATTTAATCGATTATAAACCAGCTACATGTTCCGTTTCCGCGCCTTAAGTCGTTGCCGATTAGATCCGTCCGGTTTTCTTTCTGTTTTGGGTTTGAAAGCGAAATATTTTTTCCGATGAAGGGGTGCTGGCCCTACGATCAACCTTTTTTTAAACTGCAAGGACAGTAGTTTGATTTTGGGGTTGCCTTCCCCTAGACAGGTTGCCTTCACTATGGCTATGAGTCCTGTCCACCCAGGTCGCAGTTTAACGTCATGCCCGGGACATTAGCTGCTTTATGTGAGCAATTAAACATGAAAATATTAAATGGATTCTTCAAGCATAAAGAAATTCACAAACTCTTCTGGCACTAGCCCACTAAAGGTCTAAAATCAATCATAGATTATGTAATCCTCAGGCGCACTACTAGGATAAAGGTGAACGATGTTAGAGTGATGAGAGGGGCGGAATGTGGTTCGGATCACTTTCTTTTAAAGAGTATTCTGAATTTTAAACCCCATAATCTTCTTAGAAACTCTCCAGTGACCAGAGGAAATTCAGACTCTCCGAAAACGATTCGATACTCAATTGAGAGTATGAAAAATCAAGAATCAGTTAAAGGACTGTTCCAAAGCCGACTGATGGAGAAATTGAATCATGAGAAAGGTCTGAATGATCGGCTAAATTACGAAAATATAGTAAAGTGCCTGCATGCCGCAGCTTTAGAAGCTGTCGGAGAGGAAAGGAAAGAGGTTAGAGGAAAAAACAAGCCTTGGTGGAATGAGGATGCTGAAGTGGCTGTTCAAGAGAAAAAATATGTATACAATAAATGATTAAGCTCTAAAAATGAGAAGGACCTGAGGGAATATAGAAATGCCTGTAAAAAAGTAAAAGCTATTAGAAGGAAGGCATTAAATATCTATTGGGAGAAAACCTGCAAGTATGTGGACACTTACATTGATGGACAAAAGTCTAGTGCTGCTTGGAGGACATTAAAAAAATTGAAAAATCCCAAAAGATGTCGAGATAACTTCCCATTGATCAAAGAGCAGCAATGGGTGAATTACTTGGAAGAATTATTTCATGAGGAACGACCCGAATTCGCATGGAACCAATCCGATGAAATGATATCAAATAAGGAAGATATACCGCCCTGGTTCTATTCCAATTGAATTAATTAAAGCAGGCCCGACCGAACTCAATATGGCACTGGCAGAAAGTATGACACTTCTGTTAAATGGTGGAGAGATCCCCGAAGAATGGAAACAGGGTTATATCACTCCAGTTTTCAAAAAAGGCCAAAAGAAAGACGTTTCCAACTACAGAGGTATTACTGTTACCAGCTCGCTGAGTAGATTATACGGCCGGATAATTAAAAACAGAATTGAAAATGATTTAAAGGAAGAGATCAGCGAGGAACAGGCGGGTTTTCGAGCTGGAAGATCATGCACTGATCACATTTTTAGTCTCTCACAACTTATAGAAAAGAGGATGGCCCACGACCGTGAACTCCATATGATATTTGTAGATTTACACAAGGCCTATGATTCAGTACCTCTAGCAAAATTGTGGAAAGCTTTGAAAGCCACATTTATTAAGAGATACCTCATCAGAGCAATTCAAGAGCTCTATAAAAATATAAAGGGGGCTATAAAAATAGGAGATAGAGTGTCTAGAAGCTTCTTCATTAACAAAGGATTGAAACAGGGCTGCTGCCTTTCACCCCTGATTTTCAACATTTACATAGAACAAGCCCTTAAAAACTGGAAAGATCGTGCTGTGGAATGGGTGTTCAAATCGGGAATGATGTCATCTACAATTTGCAGTATGCCGATGATCAAGTCATAATCGCATCGGATCCGGATGATGTTAGCTATATGATGAGGAAGTTGCTAGACACGTATTCCAGATGGGGTCTGAAAATCAGTGAAAGTAAAACAGAGTATATGGTTTTCAACGCTCCAAATTTGCCCCTTGAAATTGATGACTGGACGCTAAATGTCAGCCAGCAGTTCAAGTACCTCGGATACTGGTTATCTTCAAAGGGTGGTAGTGAGGTTGATATCGAATATAAAATAAATAATAGGAAAAGAATAATAAGTTCGATAAATTCAACCCTATGGAGTAAAGAAATAAGATTAGAAACTAAAAAGAAGATATACCATTCCTTTGTAGAAAGCGTAGCCACTTACGGATCAGAAGTCTGGACACTGACAAAAAAGGTGGAAAATAAGTTGCTTTCCATGGAAATGGATTTCTGGAGAAGAAGCTGTGGCATATCCAGAATCGAGCGGATCCCAAACGCAGCTATTGGAGACAAGGTCGGATGTCAAAAGAACATCCTTCACCTGATCGGGACCAAACGGCTAAAGTGGTATGGCCACTTAATGCGGATAGATGAGAACCGCTGGCCAAAGAAAATTTATAACTATATGCCACCTGAAAGAAGGAAGCGTGGAAGGCCAAAGAAGAAATGGACAGAGGACGTGGAGGAAAGCATGGCAGCCAGAGGGATTCGTGAAGGAGATTGGATGGACAGGGAGCAGTGGCTTTTGGGTGTTGGGGATATGACTCCTTAAGTTGTAGAAAACCCCAAAAAAACAAAAATAATAATAAACCAGCTAAGCATTGATAATATATTAATTTTAATAACAATAAATATTAGTAATTAATACAGCTCTTAATTAGGACAAGGGAATTTATTTGTTTAAAAATCTTCTTACCTTCAAGAGGTATATCTGTGTGTTGTCCTAGACTTCCTGGAAGAGAAAAAACTTAATCAATAACATAACACAAATAAAAATCAAATAACATGAAAGTATTGGAAAAAATAAATTATAATAAAACCATTATTTTGGATTAATTATAATGGCCTCATTATAAAATGGCCAACTGGAAAGGCTAAAACGTAAAAACATGAACTTTGAAATACAATTTGTCAAGAATTTAATTGTTTAATGCAGATTAGCAGTGGCCTAATTTATAATTCATGATAAATTAATAGTTTGAAAAATGTATTACAAATTTTAAGATATAATTATAGCAATTGCTTTGTATTAAACATTAAATTAAAATAAGTTTAGCATTTAAAAATAAAAAAAACACAGGATGCGGTTAGGAAGGAAAGAGTATACCTGCCAAACATCAGAAAAAACGTCTCCATTGTGGATGCCAGCTACTTGACTGACAGTTCACACAAATAGTGCAAAGTGGATTGATCCTTAGCCTGTAGAAAGAAGACCCCCAGCCAAATCTCTGTACAAGGAAGCATTTAACTAAACTGAATTAAATAAGTTAACTTCTCTGAGAAGCCCCAGAATTGAAAGTGACATGAGTCAGTCAAAATAAAATTATGCTAATGGAACACCTGGGGAGTTCTCTAAGAAGGCCTATTAATTTGTTAACTATTACTCCTCACAACTGATGAGTGGAGCCATGTGTAAACATTTTTAAGAAATACACGCCCACTGGAAGAAGAAGGGATGAAAGATTTAATAATGAAAATGAGGCTGCTTTTTTGAGCACTACCGCTTGATCATAGCACTTATACAGACCTTGGAGATGGTCTTCTATGAAATTGGAACTTGTCATCTCTTGGTACTTTGGCTTTAACTGGAGAAGACGACGGACCGGAAGATAGTTTGATGGAGGCAACCCGAAGAATGGACCAGAATTGTCATAGAGGACAGCCCCAGATCTAATATCAGAATCTAATGTGGTAAGTTTGACCATATGAAATGTTCTTTTCATACCAATAGTAAACTTTCATTTGAGTTAGTTTTTCGGTTACTGAGATTTAGCATTTGTCTTAATTCGTCATAATAAGCTTTTTATTAAATTTAAATTTTTTATTTTATCGAAATTTACAACTGTATTACGTGAAAAACACAACAAGTAAATATGAAATTGGTAACATGACATGTACAACATGAAGAGAAACTAAACTACCCATTGGTAGAAGTCCAATTAAAATTCTATATTAGAAGGTCCCGAGGCCATCTTCTTTTCAGACGCCTCGGAGTGTTATTAGGAATAGAAGAGGAAGCAAGGTTAAAAACAAGAGGGTTCTGATGGTTCAGAAGTTCGTTATGGAAGGATAGGTGTCTGGATTTTGTTAAATCGGAAACATATGGTACAATAAGGTCTTTAAGGACGATTTTATTTGTGACAAAAGAAGATTGAGGATTTTCCTATGGATTTTGGATTGTAAGGATTGAATACGAGAGGAATTTGATGGTTTAGTGGAGCCCCAAAGCTCTATTTCGTAAGTCCCAATAGGCCTTGTTATAGTCATAACTATGAGTCTTTTGTAAGAAGTTTAGATCGTTTGTCTAGTAAGTACTTCAGTAGTCGAAAACGTAGGACGGTTTCTCGTCGTTTCAGTCTGGTATGAGGATTCCAAGTGAGTTGTTTGTTCAGGTGGAGTCCTAGGTATCGGAATTGTTCAACAGGGATAAATGGAGTATTGTTAAAGGATAATGTAGGGCAGAAAGTCATAGGTTTACGACGAAGGGTAAAGTTAATTTGATGGAATTTATTGTATTTTATTTTAATCCTCCAGTTTTAACACCATTCTTGAAGGCTTGAAATGTGTGATTGGAGAGTTTGGGATGCAATTGATGGATCGTTATTAACTAATAGGATACACGTGTCATCGGCATAAGTGGTGATGGCAGTGTTGGGATATCAGCTGTATAAACTGTGTACTTGGTGCTTTGCTGTAAACACTTGGTGCTTTGCACGACAGTAGGTTTCTGCTTCGGATCTTCAAATTTGACAGAAGAATAAAGCAGTCATTTAACTTCGAAGATTTCAGAATTATTCCGGGCTGGTTCCAAATCGATGAAAAATTATGGAAATGGAAATTTGTCGATTGGGTGCAAAACAGAAGATAAATGTCTTACAATATGGCCGATATCTTCAAGATCTTTTTTTTATAGCGGTAGTGAGAGTGGTTGAGTGAAGACCTCTCAAAACCGCCCTATATACTTTTTCTTTTTTTAATTGATAGCAATGGAAGTCATAACTGTGTGCTGTCAAGCGATTAATAAGCTTTTTATAATAATCTTTGGGGTTGGTATTAATCTTTATGTCATTGATGTGAGAAAAACAAACAACGGAAGTTGGTCTGTCTCATCAGATTAGCTATTTCTTGACCGAACTGCATGAATTTGTCATGTTTGCTTACACATATCGGTGGTGGCTCTGGTTCAGTGAAACTCTGAAGTTCAGTAATCTCGTTATTGGTATTATTGGCGGAAACAGAATTGTTGCCAATGTGCTAGTAGGTGGTTTAGTTTCAGTTTTCATAGCTGAATTATTATTGTTGCTTGCTTTGATTTAGCGATTTTTTTTTTATTTGATGAGTTGCCCGCCGACCCGGAGGCAGAGTTAAAATATTGAGAATAGGTCTCACTGATTTCGGAGAAGCGAGTCTCTTCATCTGATTCGTCAGGTTTATTTTATCAGATTCCATACCACTAAATAATAAATAAAAAAATAAAAAAATTGATAATCCGTCAAATTTTCCAGAATTGCCAAAAGCATCTACTCAAAATATACAACTACCGTCTACTTCAAAAGAAATTGATCAACTTATCAGGAATCAAGAAAACAGAAAGCTCCATCAAGAAGGAGCAGCCTTAAAGTCAGGCGCCTCAGATCTTCCAATCCAAACCTCATTCTCCCAATCCCCATTCTCATCATGCCAGCGAATTCTGCCTCATTATATACCCTTACGAGTCAAATTACCGCCGCAGCATCCTCAACAGTCTCATCCTAATACCCATAAAAAAAACCTCCAGCACAAGTTCCTTCCAATTCAGACCCACCTCGTGCACAACGACGGATCCCACCCTCAGCTAACACTCCTAATCCACCACAAGAACCTATCCTGAATTCAATTCACGATCAACATCCATCTGACATAACTTCCACACTATCATCCTTCCTATTGGACCTTCAAAACACTATAAAACCACTTATCGCTCTTCTCACCAGAACCCTGACCGAAATTCCGTTTAATTTCCCGCGATAAGCACAAAACCCCTAACTATCCTTTTATGTAATGCGAACGGACTGCATAACCACCATGACGAACTTGTTTTATTTCTTCATAATAAACACATTGATATTGATCTAACGACTTAAACGCACTTTACTAAACGGACACATTTCTACATACGTGACTACTTCACTTATTGCTAGTTCTACTTTCACTACATTCAAGCCATCACCTCCTAAATTGATTATAGGTTAACTGGGAAAAATTTCGTGATGATTTGGAAAACAAACTAACTTAAAAATTCCGCTAAGGCAAACATCTTGCCAAAAGGACATTAATCTTGCCATTGAAAAACTTACCTCAATAACAGACAGTATAAATAATAACATCTTTATCAGTAAGATTAACAATTTATAAAAGACCAACTTGCAACGGCATATTCGTATATTATTAAAGGAAAAACGCAGAGCAAGATCGAAGTGGCATAGAACCAGATATCCAACAGATAAAACTCATTGCACCCAACCGACTAACAGACTAAAATCAGAAATTAAAAAATACAAAATTCAAAATTTACTACATTTTAATGAAAAATTTACTCCTACCGACAAATCACTATGGACGACCACTAAAAGGCTCCTGAAATTTTGAGACCGTAACCATCCACTTCTTACTGAAGCTCAAACCTGGTCCAAATCCGACGAAGAAAAATCCCAAATATTTGCTCACCACCTCTTTAAAATCTTTAATCCACATTCCAATATTCTAAACCCAAATCACCTTGAATGTATTGAAGCAGAACTGGATATCCCACTCCAAATGTCTCTTCCACCTAAAACCTTTCATCCTTCAGAAATATCCAATATCATTCAAAGGTCACCTTCCCGAAAAGCTCCTGGACACGACCTAATTACTACCCAGATCCTAAAACTGCTTCCTCGGAAAGCCATTCTATTCCTTACTTATACACACTGACAGGCAAAAAATTCCACCCACTTAATTTTTTCATGTTTTCATCTAAAAATATTTCCGCTTTGGATTGGTCTATTGTTTTTAATGAATAAATAGATAATATTTTTGTTTGTTTTCAATTAGGAATGTTAATATAGAGGACAATAACCCTTAATCCTTAATTCAATGAAATGATTCTAGATTCCAATGTTTCCTTTCTATGGAATCAAAATGTTTATTCAGTATCATTAGTTCAATGCCGTTTCTTGCAGCACATTTCTTAGTCTCCGGCTTTTAATTTTTTCAATATTAAGTTTAAAAATGCCTCTTAGTGCTGAGGATGTTGCGCGTGCTGTGGCACTTATTGATGATGGACGTTCCATTAGATATGCAGGCAGCTAATGCCATCGGAGTTCTATATGAAACTTTAAGAGACGCCGTCAGGCGTTTTCGGGAAACTGGTTGTTACAATAGAAGGCCCGGTTCTGGGCGGCCTAGGGTAAAAGAACCACGGGATGACCGGTGTTTGACTTTGAGAATTTTACGAAACCGGCATCTTACCGTTGTTCAAGCGATTCATCAGCTCGAAGAAGTTCGAGGTGTGCAAATTTCCGAACGTACCGCTCGGAGAAGATTAAATGAGTATGGATTAATGGCTTTTCGTCCAGTAAGAGGACCAGAGTTGACCAGAACTCACAGAGTAACACGGCTGGCTTTTGCTCGAGAACACAGCCATTGGACTATGGACGAATGGAGTGCTGTACTTTTTACAGATGAGTCAAGATTCGCTCTTCGATCTCCAGA